CAGGTTAAGGGTTGGACTTGATGATGTCAGAGATCTCCTCCAGCTTTGCTCTGTGATCCTCCCCAAAGGTTACCAGCACAGTCCCAATCCCTGATCACCTCCCAGCCAACACCTCCAGCTCCCTGACAGCCTCACTGAGCTCTTTAGGCACCAGCACCACCTCCAAAGCACAAAGGTATGTGTTCCAAGCAAGGTCCCTGCAGACCTCCAGCCCAGTACCTACTTGTGATGTCAAAGACAATGAGAGTCACAGCAGAGCCACGGATGGAGCTGGGAATGAGGCTGAGGAACCTCTCGTGCTGTGTCCCACAGCTGCAGCCTGATCTGGGAAATGGAAAAGTGTAGGGCAAGAGGGAAGGGGGGAGAGCAGGAACATGGAAAACAAAACCAAAACTCAAGTGAAATAAAAATACATGGGAGGGAAAATAAATAAATAAATAAACGAATGAATAAATTGCGAGGCAAAACCACTAAGCAACAAAAGGAAAGTTTAAATGGAACAGAGACATGAAGAGAGGCACAGACACTTCTGAGCAGCCTCCCAGGGACCTCAGCACAGAGCGTGACACTTCTCTCCCTCCACACACACACCTGGATACCTCACACACACCAACACCAGCTAACCATGAGCCAAGGGATCCCTGAAAGTCCCTTCTCACAGCACCTGGGTGAATATACCCCTGTACCTGCCTGCAGCTGGCCAGATGTGTCCCTCCTAACTTTACACACTTCCCTGGGATGAAGGAAACCCCTGGAAAGTCTGAGGTGTGGAAGCACAGGAGTGGGGCAGGAGGCAGAATGCAACCACCCTCCAGCCTGGCTTACCTCTCACTTACATCCAAGGCTGGGAAGGTTATCAGGCACAGAAACGGAAACTCTAGTTGGTACTTCAGGAATTAAATAGCACTTGGTGTTTCAGGAATGAGGGTGGAGCTGCCACAAGTTGCTATGCCAGCCAGGACTGAGGATGAGGCTTCTGGTGGCACCAGGTCATGCAGTGCCACAGATCCTCAAGCACTGGCAACGTGCTGGGAATGGCCCAGAGCTTCCCTCTGTGGGAGATGCACTTGAAGTGCCAAATTCCATGTGTATTTCATGGAATCATGAAATTCCAGACTGCTTTGGGTGGGAAAGGACCTTAAAGCTCATCCCATCCCACCTCCTGCCATGGGCAGGGACACCTTCCACCAGCCCAGGCTGCTCCAAGCCCCATCCAGCCTGGCCTGGAACACTCCCAGGGATGGACAGTCCCTTCTGCTGCTTTGTCCAGGCCAATGTGATGGAGCATAGGTATCATTCCAGGCTGAGCTGTTTGCTGTATGGACAGATCCACACACCCAGGCACACACCCCAGCTGGAGGCTCAGCCTTCCTCCTCCCCAGCCCAGAAATCAGAGCTCGTTGCTAAACACAGCACTAACCACATCTGAGCAGTGATTTCGGTGCCTGACTCTCCCCAGCCTGTGTGTGTTTGTCCCTCCTCTTATCTCCAGTCCACACCTCTGGTGTTTATACAGGATTTATGGGCTCTGTGGACAACTTGCATAAGCAGGAAAGCTAACAGTATTCTAACACTGGAATGGAAATGGGATTTTGTGGCTGGCAGAGCAGCAGGTGAATGACACCCTGACCTACACAAGCACAATGAATCAAAACTACAGCACTGCAAACAGCACAGAGACATCCCAGTGTGCCCTCATAGCTGCCAAGCAGCATCCCCAGGAGCTGCTTCTACCTCTGAACAACCTTAGCCAAGAAGTTTCTCCCAAACAGAGGTTAAGAGAGGTCTTTTCTAACAGTCAATCACTGGTCAGATGGCAGAGAAGCACTCGGGAAACTAATCACACACACTGGGCTGAGACTCCCCTGGAAGCACAGAGCACAGGAGAGTCACCACACCACTGTCCTGCTCCCCCCCATAGCAGGAAAGCTGCCAACACTAGCAGAACATCAAGCAAAGCACCAATACTGACAGACAGGAGAGGGGAGTGAAGGGTTGCCATGCAAGAAGGAATCTCATGCAGCCTAAATCTGCTTTATGGACATAGGTCAGGACTGGGTGACAACAGGAGCGTTCTAGGAGGAGGAACAATGTCCAGTCATCAATAGCTTCAAGGTTTTGCACTGCCTGGGGTCTGCTAAGAGGCAGAGCTGCAAAATCTAGGGGCAAACTAAGGTACACACAACAGACAACCCATTCCTTGAGGAAAGGTCATTGTCCTGACTCAATTTCCCACGGAGGATTTTGACTCATGCTAGAGGTATCAGGTCTAAACAAGTACCAGAAAGAGTAATGGGACTCAACAAGGGCTGGTCTCTAGAGGCTGCTGGGGACTTGCAGCAGCTGCTGGAGGAAGGGCCAGGGCCAAGATCACTCCTGCAGCTCCACGCATCACCTCCCCAAGCCTCACTCACCGTGCGATCCTCCAGGTACATCGTTTTGGACAGGAAATCAATCCCAATGGTTGCCTGGAAAGAAGGGAAGCATTAGCAACTGGGACTTGCCTTCCAGCACCTGTAGATCCCATCTTTCCACACCAACTCCCAGAAATGTTCACAGGAAGTTGTTATGAGGTGCTTTGGTTTCAATGGAGTTGGTGAGGAGACACCAATCCAGGTATATGCAGCAGCTCCATGGCACAGCATTGTCCACACAACCAACACTCCCAGCTGCACAAAAACCTCCCCCCTCTGAGCCTGGTTTTCAGCCTCAGACACTCAGGCATCCCAGCACAGATCATATCTGACCTGGCAGCTCCTCCTGGCTTACCCCACCTCAGCCTGGTAAGGATTAGCCCATTAGCAATATTGAAAAGATAGAATAAAACCCCAGGAAACAGGAGGAACAGACTTCAGGATCTCAGGCAGATTATCTCCAGCCTGAACACACACAGGCAGCACAGTGTGTGCTGGAAAGGCTCCAGCAGAGCCTGAACCACGGGATGTTAGAAGAGAGCACCACAATTTTGGTGAACACTTCTTTCTGGGAGGTACATTTTCTAGCCAGGATGTGGTTTGGAACAACTGCACTGAGCAGGTAAATACACCTGATATTAGCTTTCTTCACCTTGCCTAAGAGCATCTTACAAGAGTCAGGGGAAGACACGCAGGGAGCACAACAGATCCAGTTCCAGAGGATGTCTTGGCCTCAAGGAAACAACCCTCTCTTCCTTTTTCAGCTGAAACTTGCCCCAATCCAACCCAGTCACTCTTTGTGGACGAGTGAAAAGGTAACACTGAATCTCATCATATTTGATGTTCCCCTGAAATACTTCTAAGTGCCTTGGATGCAATTAAGTCTTGCCCAAATCCTCAGGCCTCTTACACATCTTCTGCTTTTCCTCTGCATCCTCATGTTATTCCTTCCCCACCAAGACTTGCCTGGATTTTTTGATCTTTAGCCTTCTAGTTAAAAAATAGAGAGAATATGCCACACTGACTCCTGCCAGATCCATCTACTAACTCCAGACTCAACTATTCCTACTTTAAGCTCTGGAGATGCCAAGAATTATCAGAAGATGTTTGTGTCTTATTCATTCTCTGGTTTCTGAGATTCCCAAATCCATCATCAGGCACCCTGACCATCATCTTCTCCATCAGCCAAACCCACACACCAACGTTCCTCCCTGTTTTCCTCAGGGCTTATCATGTCCAAATGGGATCTATCACACACCTGAACAGGGTCTATCACATGTCCAAACAGGATCCATCACGTATCTAGTAATCAGGATCCATCACACACCTTAACAGGATCTATCACACTCCCAAACAAGATCTATCACATATCTAATAATTAGGATCCATCACATACCTAAACAAGATCTATCACAGACCCAAACAGGATCTAGCACACACCTAAACAGGATCTATCACATATCCAAATGGTATCTATCACATATCTAATAAACAGGATCAATCACACACCAAACAGGCTCCAAACCTTGCAGCCTTTATTTCCTGATCTCACACAGGATATTCAGGGTTAACCATGGAATCTCATCTCCATTTCAAGGCACATTTTAACCTTTCCTATACTATTGCACTAACATCTCATGCTTGGCCCTCCCAGGCAGAAGTTTTGTCAGCAGGGAATAGATTTACTCATGAATGTATCTCAAAATGAAATAAATACTCCTACATACCTGGTAAGTATTGTCAAAACTGTCATACATGAACCTGGTGATCAGGGAGGTCTTCCCAACTACAAGAGAAGAGGAAAATTACTTTGAAGCAGCAGAGGGGGGAAAAAAACCCTGAGCTCTGCCTTGGGAGTGGCCCTGAAATGCAGCTGTCAATCTGAGCCCATTGCAGCTACACCTCCCTGGGAAATAACCAGCTGGGAACTCCACTCCCACAATGACAGTAAAGCCTAATCAAGCTTTGCAGGTCAACAATTAAATCATGGGGATAACCTGGTGCTCAAATCAGGTGTGATGTGATGCATCTGGCAAAGAAGGGGTTGTTTGCTTTAGGCAAGGAATAAATCTGCTTTGTTCCTGGTGTTCTGCTGCTTATGTAATCCCCAAGTCTGGGACAAAAACATCCAAACAAACCAGGTGATAGCTCCTGCTGCTTCTGGCTGGGGGGAAAAGCACCAGCCAGGCCTCACAGCCTTTCTTCAGAACAACAGTTTGGATGCAGAGTAAACTCTGGTGCTTTGCTGGAAAACTTTACATTTACCTCTCCAAATATTAGCAAGGCACAAAGTGCAGAACTGACAAGGAATGAAAAACGGAGATAACATCTCTGATTCTCTCCCAGGAAGCCAAGAAAAAAACAAAGGGTATGGATGGAAGAGGGGAAAAAGGAACAAATTGCCCAGAAAGGCTGTGAAATTATCAGCATTGGAGAAGGTTACGAACAGGTCAATCCCACACTGGAAAACTGGAAAAATTCTGGAAAAACCCCTAAGATCCATAGTTCTGGGCCTGAGGAGCAGGTGAGCAGTAAGAATCCCAGGATGGCTTGGGTTGGAATAGTTCCACCCACGGGCAAGGACACCTTCCACTAACCCACGTTGTTCCAACCCCATCCAACCTGGCCTGGAACACCCCAACCACCGCGATTCCAAGGGAAACACACAGCTCATCCCTAGATTCCGCAGGAAAGGGAGGCAACTTCAGGCCGAACGAAGCAGCCGCGGAGGGAAGGGAGGAGAGGGAAGGAGGCAGCAGTGCGGCCGAGCCCGAGACCCAGCGCCACTCCCGAGCCGGGTGGCTGCGGGGACACTTGCGGCCGGGACCGCATCCCCCATCCCGGAGTGGGGTTCATCCCTCCCGGCTCCGCATCCCCCATCCCGGAGTGGGGTTCATCCCTCCCGGCTCCGCATCCCCCATCCCGGAGTGGGGATCATCCCTCCCGGCTCCGCATCCCCCATCCCGGAGTGGGGATCATCCCTCCCGGCTCCGCATCCCCCATCCCGGAGTGGGGATCATCCCTCCCGGCTCCGCATCCCCCATCCCGGAGTGGGGATCATCCCTCCCGGCTCCGCCTCCTCGCTCCCGGCTCCGCATCCCCCATCCCGGAGTGGGGATCATCCCTCCCGGCTCCGCATCCCCCATCCCGGAGTGGGGATCATCCCTCCCGCCTCCCCATCGCCCACTCCGGAGTGAAGCATCCTTCCCGTCTTCCCATCGGCATCATCCCGG